GTAACGGATTACGTAAAATTAGGATTAGATTTAATAACAAAGGTAACATATAAAACTGAAATGGCTGAAAGTGAAGACGAAACGTACAAATTGTTAAATCAAATATCTAAAAACATCAATAAAATGAAAAACACTTTAAAAGGAAATTTTAGTGCTATTATTGAAGAAATAAAAAATATACCTAGCACTGTTTGGCAACAAGAAACCAAAGGAGCATTTGAAGATATACTCAATGAAATTACCGATTCTTTCAAAAGATTGGTAAAAAAGCAAGTTGAAATAAATCAAAATATATCTTGGATTAGTGAATCTGAAGTAATTATAGTATCAAACTACGAAACATCTTTGGAAAATTCTTGGGATAAATTCAGGCATTACTTATTTGAAAAACACGTTATTGATTATTTAAAAATGCAGGTAAGTGTTACGCAAAAAGGTCAAATATTATTGTCTCTAACTGTTCAATAAGTAAATAAAACAACCAAAAGATTATTTTATTTCAACAATTACTTGAATTTTGGATAATATATATTATATAAAGTAAAGCAGTGAAATTTGTGATTTCAGGGAGCAAATAACGTTTGCGAATCCGGTATATCGCAATTTCAGTTAGTCGAAGAATCATTGTATCAATTTCTGATTGTAGCAAACCAATACATGCTCTCGCGACATATTATTTATAATATTCGGGAACACATAGGTAAATATCAAATACAATCAAATTTATAATATAAAAAATGCATTTTTTTTAATAACATGTTTAATTTTTTCAATTTCTCAAGACGAAAAGAATTACGATAGAGTTAGACGAAGATTTAATCATGAACTTAAGTATCAACTCGACGAAGACCTAGAAAAATTCAAAACAGCAATGTCTGAGAGCTCGACTGAGTATTGGCGGTGTAATCCAACGGAAACTATCAGTAAGAAAAGTTCAAAATAAATTGAATATATTACAAATAAATCGCTCTGAACTTGAATTTTTCAATTGATTATATAGCATGCAACATTAATTTTATTTTAAGAAATCCATATAAAAAATTAATATTATTTTTGTAATCTACAAATTGCTCGTTTTAGATATATTATACTTCATGCCGGAATTGATAGAAGATCGGAAACAAGGTTCTTCAGACTGTGAGGAGATTCAAAATAGCGGTTACCAATGTATTCCTTCTCATAATAACAGAAAGTGCGACTGCATTAAAAGCACTATGATCATAAGTCTTGCTTTGGCAACAGCTGATCCGGGATAGTAAGTAGCTAAATATTATTTTCTTTTTATCTTCAAATATTCGTAAAAATAAAATCGCTATTACAGCTTCAACACCTAATTTTCATTTACTTTTCAGTGTTATTACAGGCGCTCAAATAAAAATTGATGGCTCTGTATTAACGATTTCAGCGAAACAAGGAAAACTATTACCGGGCGGTCTAGTTGACAAAAATACAATTAAAGATGTTACAGAAAAAAAAAGTAAGACATCACGTTGCTCTATTCTTACAGAACATTCTTTAAGAAAAATGTGTTGGTAGTTCCTCCAGGGCAACCGGCTCAGGCAGAATTTGTACTTAGAGCGAGCAAGATTGAATTTGGCCAAGTAACAATCCCGACAAATCGATTCATAACAGGAGTAGGCTTTCACATGAGGTTTCTAAATTTTATTATAGCCGCTGAATCGACGAAGTATGATACTGAAACAAAGACACTCGTAAACAGCAATACACAAATACATACGTACAGTTATACGAAGTAAGTGATGGAATCATATAAATGTTATCTTATTGTATTAATATTAATTCGAACCATTTAAAATGTAAATAATTTACATTACAAATTCTATGTTCATAGTTCCGTATCAGATACTAAATTTGCACGTGCCATTGAAGTGTTTCAACCAAACAATATCAGATGGAAAGACAATATATATCCTCTGATCGATAGTCAAATGGTTCAATCATCTTCACCATCACCTCTATCGGGAATTGGTCTGTTTCTTAGAGGAAAATCTGAAAAAGATGGTTTCGTGGCGATCAAGATAAATACTTACAACACAGCTTCATTTATACCGCAAATTCCATCATTAAATGATTTTCCAGTTCGTGAAGTTTTAAATAGCTTATCAAACACTACATCTTTGAGTCTATTGAAAAAGAAATTTGGAGCATGATCAATATGTGCCAAATAAGAAATATCACCGAATAAATGCTTAAATATTCGTCATTATTATGTTAATGTACACGAATTATATATGTAAAGCTAAATATTAAATTATCAATAAATTGAAAAAAATAAAAATATTAATTCATATTTTAATTACATGAAAAAATTCTTTATAAAGACAAAACGAAGTACCTCGATTTTTACATGAATAAAATGCTACATCTATTAAATCACCCATTATATATGATAAAAAAGTTAGTAATGCGTTTCGCGCAAATGCCTAACCATTTTATAACAACCAAGCCCTATATCATTTTCTACTATTTACTAATCCACCCATTGTCATCTGCGATTATCAATTCTGCTACAACCTTTTGACAGACAATGTAAGGTGCGCGAGAATATTTGAAAGACAATGCCTCCGAAGTTACTTACGCCAACACAGATCTGCTTTCAGAGTGTTAGCGATTGATTAACGGTCCATCACTTTATAACGAAGCAAATATTTTGCGCATCGATGATTTCAGTGTCAATCTGGCGATAAATGATATCGCAACTGCAAGATAAATAATTAAATGCGATCGACTAATATCATGTCTAGCTTCACTATAATGTCCAGGAAATGCCCAACAAAATCCTTTTGACGATCTTTTTTCCCTCGCGACTGATTTTTTAAGGGAATCTTATAAGCGGAATGTATAACAATATATGTGAACCCGGACATATGAAAATGGGTGGAATATTGTTTACGGGTCGTTTGAAACTGTAAATTTCATACAAATTTTAGTTTTTCGTAGATATCTTTGTCCTTATGATGATCCCATGAAAAAATGTTAAAATAGTTATTTTTTGGTCTTCTTGAACTCTACAAAATATTGATTAGGTCCAAAGTTATTGCAAAAATAAAATGTATTGCAACGCTTTCTATAAACAATTATAACAAATGTCATAATAATTCAAAGGTTTCCATACTACGGTGATAAATAAAAAATTATAGTGTATTAATAGTTCTCAAGTTTGAAATGTGTAGGTTAAATCTTTTATGAGTTATGGCCTTATAAACAAATTAATTATTTATCAATATTCACGATTCTCCGCATCTTTTAGATTCATGCCGAATATTTTTTCATGAGATGATCATAAGGACAAAGATATGTACGAAAAACTAATAATTAATGATTCATAAGTTTCTCTCAAAAAATCAGCCATGAGGAAAAAAAGATCGTCAAAACTTCTCTTTTTCAAAAAATCAATTTATTGTATCGATTTGTTTGTAATTTTACATGAATTTTTTACTAACATAATCACTTTAATAGCAGATAGTAGCATTATTTAGAAAAGTTGTTAATTATATCCAATAAAATTCCCATTAATCCTTACCTCGTAGGCTCTGTTACTGGTATTCAATACCATTATTAAACATCAATATTCTTGGAAATTATGTAGGATTCCATATGAAATCCCACATGGGATACCATATGGATTTTTCCTACTGGAAGCACGTTCGGCGAAAATCGTCAGCCAATATTCGTACTTTCCGTACATTGTTTATAAAAAATACCGTATCTAACATATTCCAAAGTGAGATTCTCGTCTCGAGTGCTTTTCAGCCTCGCTTCGCTCGGATGTAAGCCTCACAAGAAACAAAAATCTACTGTCCCGCACTAGTTAGGTAATGTCCTATTCCCACACTTGTATCGTAATGTATTAAAACAGCTTGCGAACCTAAACAGTAATCTTAAAAAAAGAATTAAGTCTACGAATAGCGACTATTGTAAAGACTTTTTTATACTTACTGTATAATTATGTAAAATATATAATATTACTTCAAATTCGATGAAAAAGTATTATTTTACGACAGACAAGAACAGACAGATAACACTTTTTGAGCAGACAAATTATAAATAAAAAAGTAGTTTTCCATTTTCAAAGAAATCATCTATTATAGACGTATACAATGTATACAATTGTTTCTGAATCTAATCAGTTCTTTTTGAATTTATTATTTTGTTTATCATAAAATGCGACCGACAGTTGTATATTTTGGTACGACCAGTATATATGACAATAAAATTAATTTAAATGTTTAAAGTCTCTGCCAAATATTCTGTTATCAAACTTTCTAAAAAAAATGAATTCCGGCTCCTATGTGTCGTGTAAGTTTTAACTAATATACTACTATAGGTGAAAACAACTAGGTGCTTCACAAAGTAATATTTTTGCAAAACAACATGCTGCAAATGCAATATTCAACTTTGCAATGCTGGCATTTAACTATTTAAGTAATATATTCAAAAATTTATGAAATTTGAAATGCTCTAAAGCTTTTCATATAAATAAATCATGCTTTTATAAGATCAATATAAGATTAATTGTCTGAAAGTAACCAGATAAGCCATTGACTAGATAATTTTGTTAAAGAGAGAGAGAGGAGAGAGAGAGAGAGGGAGAGAGAGCTCGAATTATAAGCTAATTTTTTCCTTTAATATTTCAAGCTTTTCTGATGGAATGGCAGCTATACGAAGTTGCCTATGCCTGAAAAAAATCGAAAATTCATCGTTTTTCCCCTGACTATTTCTTCAGTTTTGCTAATTGATTTACATGAACCGCTGACGAATCAATGCACAAAATCTAAAAGTGCCCCCGTAACTTGCCAGAAAGATCCAGATGTCATCGATGCTCAATCGTCGAAAATAATTTTGATTAATTGAACTTCGCGGGTCGCGAATTAATATCCAGGCATGTATAGTATAGTGTTTCAAGTCAATCACGCATGCGTATTGACATCGATACTTATTGCAGTCATTGGAGAAACACCGCCAGGTTAAAGTTATATCGGCACTCATTTATGAGACCCACTGCCATCAAATCAAAGAAACGAAAATGAAAAACGATACGCATATTTAAAGTTAATAATGTTGTTACATAGTTGTTATATATGTACATTATTTTATCGTCATTTAGCTCAGAATAAATAGTAAAAAGCATTTTGTCAAACATTGTGCTGAAAAGAAAACAGTTTCTCCATTAAACAAAATTCTCAAAAAGTTATAAGCTTATATGTATATGTTTTTACGATTTCAATCCAAACATTGATTTATAACCTTGAAATTCGGCTAAAATGAAATTTCACTTTAAAATGTTTTCTCACCGTTTAAAATGTATAAACAAGATAATCATCATTCGTTCACTTAAAACAAATTCAAAGACATTCAGAAGTTCAAAATCAATTAGGAGTGATTTTATAAATTATTTTACCAATGACTTAAATCATGCTTTTATAAGATCAAGTCCAGTTATGCCTTTAAATGATCCATCTATACCATTTGTTAATGCTGGAATGAACCAGGTATTAAAATTTTAATAACTTAAAGTAAGATTAACTTAAATTTGTATACTTTATTAGCATTAAATTGGATTATTCTTTTTTCAGTTTAAAGGCATACTATTAGGAGAACATAGTCCACCAGCTTTTAGAGTTGCAAATTCACAAAAATGTATTAGAGTTGGTGGAAAACATAATGACTTAGATGTAGTGGGATCTGATTCTTATCATCATACATTTTTTGAAATGCTTGGGAACTGGTCTTTTGGAGATTATTTTAAAGTATTATTAGCATTTGCTTAGAATATAACAAGATTAGAATTGAATATTATATTTTATTGTAGGAAGAAGCTTGCAAATATGCTTGGGATCTTTTAGTCAAAATTTATGGAATAAAAAAAGAGTATTTATATGTGACATACTTTAGTGGAAGTGAGAGATTGGATATAAAACCTGATTTAGAGTGTAAAGATATATGGTTGAAAATTGGAGTACCTGAAGATCATATATTACCTTTTGGTATTGAAGAAAATTTTTGGGAAATGGGACCTACTGGACCTTGTGGACCTTGTACAGAAATTCATATAGATCATACCATGCATTTAAAAAATCAAGCATCCAGAGTAAATAAAGGTCATGATGATCTCACAGAATTGTGGAATATAGTCTTTATTCAATATCAAAGGTAATATTTTTTAATTTAAAATAAATACAAGTTTATCTAACAATAATTTTTGATAACATAATTTTGTAGGCTACGAAATGGACAAATAATACCATTAGCAAAGAAACATATTGATACTGGCATGGGATTTGAAAGGCTAGTCACAATATTACAAGAAAAACGTTCTAATTATGATACAGATCTCTTTCAGCCACTCTTTGCAGCTATCGAAAAATGCAGTGGTGCTCCAAAGTACGAAGGAAGATTTGGAGTCGCCGATAAAAATAAAATTGACACTAGTTACAGAATATTAGCTGATCATGCAAGAATGGTCACTGTGGCTTTAGCAGATGGAATATTACCAGACAAGAAGTTTGTAATGTTCCTCATATCTATATAATAATTATTAAACATTGCAATAGATAATTTCATGTAAAAATATAATTTTTTTAGTCACAAACTTAGGAGGATATTAAGAAAAGCTATTGATATTAGTGAAGATATTTTCAGATCCAACAAACTCTTAGTGGAATTGACAAATCACGTTGCCATGATTTTTGGAGATGTTTATCCAGAAATTGATAAAAACTTGAGCAAAGTAAGTATCTAGTACTTACAATTACTATAGTTTGAAAAATAGAGTTTTAAATGAACTTCTTTTTTAGATTCAACATATTATAAAATTTGAAACAGAAATTATGAAATCTGCAAGGCATGCTGCTGAACAAAATTGGAAAAAAGTTGTGGATAAACGGCCTGAACTTTCTATTATTAAAGAGACAACTTTACCAGGATTAACCGCAGGATACTCTGAATTACAAAGTTTTTTGAAAACAAAGTAAAAGTTTAATTTCATATCAAAATGCATTACAAATGCAAACATTTATAAATAATAATTATAATTTATAGGTGTAATGTTAATAGTTTGCCTGGAGATTTTGCTTTCAAATTATATGACACTTATGGATTGAATTTTGAAGTTATATGTAAATTAGCGGAAATCGAATCTATAAAATTCAATATTACTGATTTTAAAGACGCTCTCGATAAAGCAAGAAAGCAATCACGGCACGAAATAGCCATGAAATTAGACACTGAAATAATATCAGACTATTCATTAAATTTACTTGAATCTGCTAATGTGCCAAAGACTGATGATTCATTCAAGTATGATTACACTTACAACGATCAGAAATATATTTTTCCTGTTCTAAATTGTAAAATATTAGGAATGGTTATTAATGGTAACTATTAATATTTGATGCTCTTTTTACCTATTTTCAACTATAATATAAAAATAAGCATCAATGACTAAATTGTTTATATTCTGCAGGAAATTTGATATCCGAACCTGAAACTAGTTTAAATATAGATGAAAGTCAAACCATTGTAGAAGCTACAGTAACTAGTAGTGGAAATATTGTTGAAAGCAGTGCTGTAGTTAATACAACTGTTGATGTAGGCATTATTTTGGATAGAACACCAGCATATTCAACAGCTGGAAGTCAAATTTCTGATAAAGGTCAAATTCAAATAAATAATTTAATTTTCAAATTTGAAGATGTCAGAAAAATTCGTGATTATGTGATCCATGTTGGACATTTTGTAGATTGGGATGAAGCGTAAGTTTCAATTTTTGTCCAGGAATACAAAAGAACTTTAATGTTTATTGCACATCTTTCTGAATTATTTTTTAGAAACCCAGAACATGAATTACATGTCGGAGATGAATGTATAGTTTCAATTGATGAAAATAGCAGATTGGCTACTATGAGACATCACACTGCTGCTCATTTATTGAATGCTGCTTTGCAAAAAACATTACCTGTGGTTGGTCAACGAGGTAGTGATGTGCTTAATGATGTATTGAAATTTGAATGTAGCACTTTTGGAAGAAAACTATCAGTGCAAGACATAAGTAAAATTGAAGAAATGATTAATAAAACTATTGAAGCTGATGTTCCAATCAGAACAAAGACTGTAAATATACTACAAATGTTAAATGAAGATAACTTGACTGTAATTCCTGGAGAAGTTTATCCGGATAAAGAAATAAGAATTATTCAACTACAAAGTGACATTTTGAGTTCAAAGTAAATTCAATAAAACTTGATGAAATGGTACATTACTTTGAATTCAATAAACTATTTTTATTTTTAGAGAAGCATGTTGTGGCACTCACGTTCATAAAACTGGAGTTTTAGAACATTTTTGTATAACAAATGTGAAATCTCAAGGAATCGTTAGTTTAAACTTGAAAGCTGTAGCAGGTCCGAAAGCTCAATTAAGAAGAATTGCTGGTGATAATTTAAGAAAAAGAATTTTGAATTTAGAAAAAGGATTTGAATCTAGTAGTATATCATTAAATGAACTTGCATTAAAAGTTACTGATGAGAAGCGTGAATTAATGGATAAGAATAAAAGAATACAGTATCCTTACGTTGTTGTTCAAGAATGTTTGACTAAATTGGAATCATTATCGAAAAAAATTATTATGAAAGAAAGAGAATTGATGAGGTAGGTTACAAAGTAATTAAATTGATTTAATCCTTCTGTAATTTCATAAATAATTTTAATTTTCAAAGAAACACAATAGAAGAAGAAATTAAAAAAATGTTAGACATATCATCTTTACCTTTTGTTGTTCATTGCTTGCAACCTAATAATACATCACTTGAAAATATTTCCTTGAAAAATATTATAAAATTGTGCCCTCCTACTACACCTGTATTAGTTATTGTACATTGCAAAAACAAAGTAAAAGCACGCTGCTTTGTGCCAAAGGTAAATTTTAATATAGAAAATTAGATTTTTATTTTAAGAACAAAATATTGTATATGTCTGGTAATTAATTTTATTAAGGAACTTCAATCATCATCATTTAATGCAAAAACGTGGATGGAAGAGATTTTACAAGTATTCCTTACAAAAGGTTATACTTTAAAAGATGAAGATCCCCTGGTTGCCTATAATATGCATCCAACTCAAATTTCCAATGATAACTTCAAAGTATCAATTGATAAAGCAATAGCAGCTGCAACAAAATTTGCATCAACATATGTCAATCGAAGTAAAAAAGACAAGCCAAATAAATAACGTAAGTTTTGTTGATAAAAACGTATGTAGTCACATTTTATTTAATAAATATAAAAATTATTGTTAAAATCATTATCTAGTATTGTAACAATAAACTATACATAAATTAACTAGTTTTATAAATAGGCAACATTGTTTCCTACATTCGTTAAGATTTTGAAGCTTTTATTTCATTATCATAAAATATTCTCAAAGCTTGCCATTGTGGTTTATGTATTAGTATATGTTGTCTTTTACTTCTCATATAATCTACCGTCTCTTCAGGAGTCCAGCCATGTTTCTATAAATAATAAACAAATTATTCTTCATTCATTGAAATAGTAAATTTTTACAACAAACAAAAGAAGTAAACAGACCATCATAAGATAACATCCAACAAGTGTTGCACTGCGAGTTCTGCCTGCTTTACAATGAACATATACTGTTGGCATCTTCTCATTTTGTTTATTATGCATTTTCAAAATTCGGAATTGATTGATAAAGTTGACACCACGTTTCAACTTTTCTTGACAAGGTGCTTCAAATATATCTGTTGTTGATAATTGTAAAAATTTCACATTATGTTTATTCCAGTCCTATAATATTCAATAACTAATTATTAGTTTACTAAGAAAAATGTATATTTTTTCTAAGAATTATATTTCAATACCTCAGCTGTATTTGAAAGGAGCCACAGTTCATAATCTTCATTCATTGAGACAACACCTTTTACATTTTCTTCCTCTAGTAACTAAAAAATTATTTTGAAAAATAATTAACAATATCATTTTATCAATGTATCAACAATAAAATTTGAAATTTACCTGTTTTGTCATTGAACGAAAAGGCAACGCACCAAGAATAACAGTTTCGTCTATTCGGTCATACCATCTTCGAGATGAAACTCTTTCCATAAAAATGTTATAGAACAATGATGGATAAAATGTCACTCTGGCAAACATTTTCACTAAAAAAATATTTCAATTACAAATGCTTGAATGTGTTAATTGTTTAAATTGTTAGATTCTTATTGACAAATTGCTTATAGTTTTATAAATTAAACTGAAAAACGTAGATGTATAAAAACTAGGAATTTCTATTCTTGGAAAAAATTTTGAAATTTCACAATTTTCATTGAAAAATTCCTCTGGAATGAAGGATATTACGCGGTGAAACGGAAAGAGAAGCGAAACTATATAGAGAAAGTTAAGCAGTGTAAAAGAGAAGACAGGTATTAAAGTTAGAGGGTCATAGTGGGGAGAAGTCAAAAGTGGGACTTCATGAGACTAAAAGAGGGGCCAGCTTCTACACATAGTTTGAGAAGAATGAACTACCAAATACACTTTTGACATTGTTATTACTATTTGCGCTATTTATATTTAAAATCGGATCATAGATGTAAATCTTTGTAAAAATAGATCCTTTGTAAGTGGTAACTGCGTCAAACAATTTTGTAATGTAAAATCGCGTTCTTTGAAAAGTATTTTGAAAAGTATAATTATTTTAGTTGACTGATTGTTTCATACATATATTTAAAACAAACAAATTAAACAATCTTGGATTAGAAATAAATATAATGTATACTTGCTATGTGAAAAAATTTATTTACAGAATTTACAATAGACTCCTACTTGAACAAGTAAAAATTATAATTTATAAATAAATTATGAATTTACAACTTTACATCATAATTTTTAAATATGTAAAAAAACAATGTTTTAGAAATTATTGTAAAATTTAAGTGTTATAATATATCTTTATCTAAACAATAAAGTCCTAATTCCCCATTTCTAAAAGCTTTAAGAAAGTATTGTGCTGCATAATAAAAGTCTGGTTTGTAAACATGTTTGCCATCAACTATATTTTTTATCTTTTTAACTTTTTTGTTTTTAACAGCTATTTGAATCAAAACCTCCATTATGTCATCAGTTGGTTCTTTCAAATTTAACTTGTTAACATATTCAAATCTGTTGTTTTTATTCAACCAGAATAATAAATAATCAGCTAATAATTCTGGCCCTACTAAATGATCTTGAGAGCACCCAACCAAAGCTAATTTCAAACCACAATTTTGATCTTTAATGTTTGGCGGCAATATTCCTGGTGTATCTAATAAAAACACTAAGGGATCTTCAGATATTTTTATTCTATTCATAAGCGATCTTGTAATTCCTGCCACAGCTCCAACAGCTGCAGCTTTTGGTTTATGTAAATGAGTACTTCTCAATCTGTTAATCAATGATGACTTGCCAACATTGGGAACTCCAATAACCATAACACAATAATCTTTTTCTTGTGATCTGTTAAAACGATTTGATTCAGATATAATCTGCTGCATTAATGGTAATATTTTCTTTGTCTCTTTACATTTTTCATCCTTAAGATTTGTTTGCACAATATTTGTCATACCTTCTTCATTTAGTCTTTCAAGAGCAGGAGCTATGTATGTCTTATCAGTTAAGTCTATTTTACTCAATACAAGAATATGGGGCTTTAAACCAGACAAAGTTTTCTTGAAATCTGCATAACCACGTCCAGATAGAGGAATTCTAGCATCATGCACTTCGATTAAACAATCTACATTTTTCAAGTTTTGTTCCATTTGCCTAATTCCTTTACCCATATGCCCAGGAAACCAGTTTAATGTATCTTTATTAACCACTTTAAATGTCTCACGAAAATTGACTACTTTACCTCCAAAAGCATTTGCCATTTTTGCCAATTTCAAAATAATTTGAACTATTTCTTTTTCCTATCAAGTATGAGGTTGACTTTTTTCCTGTAAATAAAAACAATTAAATTAGATTTCTCATCTTGCTTAATCAAATGAATTGAGAAACAAATATATTTTCAAACAATCGACTTTAAAAAAACATTATGCAACAAAAAGTTGAACTAGCTATTAATTTTTAACAAGAATAAAATTTAACAAAGAAACGTGAGCAGATATTCAAAATATATTAAAATTTCATAGTAATTGAATAATTTTTCTGCTAAAGAATGACAAATTTTGACGTTCAAATTGATACCTTATGATGTCTTTTCAGTTTTGTTAGATACGCCACGTGAGTATTTATACAATAACAATCAAACCTCTTTTGATTCGGTTGAAAATTAGTTTTAACAAAGTTTTCTATGTTAATAAATAAGTTGTTAAAATGCCAAAGTAATTAATAAACATTTGTAAACATGTGCAATCTTTATCAACAATGCCGCGTGGAAATTGGGGATAAGGCAAAGGTTGTATCTGCTCACTATTCCGCATGTATTAAAAAATCAAAACAAATCTTAGTTCGTCGCATGCGCGAACAGTTTTGAAGTACCAATAGTTTATTTATGATCTTTAAATTCCAACACTTTCATATCTACTTGGTGAACTGTTTTATATATCAAGATATAAATTATAAAGAACTTTTAGAAATAGTGTACACGATAAGATAAAATTTTTAATTAAATTCACAAGTGATTGTCATTTGAAAATGTAACATTGCTCCAAAATTGCTAGAGTTTAAGTTAATCGAAATCTTCACGAATAATTTTTCATCGAGAGCCAAAGGGCCATAATTAATAAAAAATATATCAATAATCAAAGCGACTTTCGCCACCTCGCGGCACATATTCAAATGAATAATCTTCTATCTCTTTCGCTCTCACTTTTATCACTTACACATTCATTCAACTAAACCTCTCAACAAATGAGCCATGCGTTTCATTTTCTCTCTATAGCATAGTTTTCCTTCGTCCAGCGACGCATATGTATGCCTCGTCATGCATTCAAAATTCAGCTTGCCACATACTCGATTGTGATAAACATACACAAACACATACAACAACAGCAGCAAAGTATACAGTCACTACATAGTAGTAGTCCGGTGGCCATTGCTCTTTTCACTTTGGGAGTTGTTAAGTGAGAGAGAAAGCTGCCCCATCCGAAACAAATGAAAGAGGAAGAAAAAAAGAGAAGGCCAGAAGGCACCAAAGTAGCTGTATAGTGGTGATGTGTGCATTGCGCACGCGTGTATACGCGCGCATGTGTGAGTGAGCGAGTACGACCGTCAGCCGACAAAGTTAGTCGAGAGAGGGTGGCACCAGAAGGCAGGCCAGTCGGAGACGGTGCGTGTGGTCGTCGGTGCGCGTCGTCGCTCTCGTTGTGTGCTGCGATAGTTGCTGCTGTTATTTCGTATTTCGTATATACACTGAGAGGTGCGGTGCAGCACAACTGTTTTGACGAAAATGTCGCGAATGGAGAAGGAACGAACCAAGCAGATCCAAGACAAATGTCAGCTGCTGCTCACCCAGATGCTACGCGACGAGGACAACAAATACTGTGTCGATTGCGATGCCAAAGGTAAGAGATATATACGAAAGCCACGTATTAACTTTATATTCACGCGCAACACGCATCTACCATGTTTTTCCTTCGTTGTTACATTGTTACTTTTTTGTGGACAATTAATATCGTCACTGGGCATTTTTGTTGCTGCTAATCTATCGCAATCTCGTCAGAACTCTTGATTCCAGAGCCAAAAGTTGCCCGTGATCTGCCCAGGATAACAACACGAGCAGCGAGCGATTCGCGGCTTTCGGTCACTTTATGTACTTTTTAGCAGGTTATCGACGCAACGTCTGACGCGAGCTATCAATTTCCACTGATTAGATGTATTGGCTCTTTATATACGACTACCTCCTACTACTGTTCAACTTGTTTTTATTATGGAATCCTCGTAAATAATCAAACGATCAGTTGTAGAAGAGGAATTTTATGTAAATAAAAGCGACTACATCGTGAATAATTTTCCGTTGATCTCGAACAGGTGTCCCCTAGCATTCAAGCTCGAAGAGCTTCCGAGTACTCGAATACTTTTAAAATGCACTGGTACATGTTTGTCGATCCAGATTCAAAGGATAATTCGATTGGAAAGCCACATTAATACAATCGCATAACCATCGCGTTTTAATTTTCTTTGCGCACGCGAGAGGAGCAATGGTATGTAAGATTGGCGAGTTGAACAACCGTGAAAGCATCGGGCTTTGCAGTGTCTAATTACGAAAATCAGTATGAAGCGCGCACGCAAAGAGAAAACGAATCGTAGAATCGCGTAAACGGCGACTGCCGAGCGCGTATAAATCAGCTAGCATTATCTGTCAATGTCGTGGGCCTCCGGGTGGTGGAGACAGAGAGAGAGAGAGAGAGTGACGACGCACGCGTGGGTGGTGCCTGTACGATATTGGTCGGACGTTTGCCAGCCTTCTTTCTTGTATCGCGTATGGACGAGCAATGTGCACATCGGCAGCAGGTTTTTAAAGGCGAAATAGCGTTATCCCTACGCGTATCGATTGGCCGTGCAGCAGTTGGGCTGCGACCCAGTTTCGTCACGCCACCGCGAGGGACTAACACTGGTTAATGACGATCGCGCGCGCGCGCAACTCGCGAAGCGTATACGTGTGTACCGAGGGTGGACGCCGTGCACCGCACTTGACTCGGTTCGTCCCTCGGGCATGTGCGCGTCTCTCGCGTCCAAGCGTAGCGCGTGAGTCAGGCGCGAGAAATGCGCGACGGTACCGCTTGGCGCCAGAGCTACGGGGGGGGTTGGTATTATCTGCCGCCGCCGACTCGACGATGCTCCTGAAGGGATTCCTAGGCGATGATACAACGGGACGAGTCTTCGCTCGCGCGTGTTCGTGGGGCGCGTGTCGACACTTTTCATTGCGACTTTATCTCGAGGCTTTGCTTGCTGGATCGCACAAAGAGAAATCGGTATCGACGCGCCCGCGCTGATTTCGCTTTTCTCTCTTCTTGTCCACTCCCAAAAATCGATTGCGCAATCATCCTTTACGCTCATCTCAGCACTTGTAGCTATTTTCTTCAGAAACGTTTTTTGGAGCTTCTTTATTTCGACGCTGCTCAAGTAATCATCGACAAAACCCCAACTTAGGCGCGATATTATCAACGACGTGCGAAAACGCCTCTTTCGAGGGAAAGAAATCCTTTGAAGTATATGTACAGCTCAGGGAGGCACGTCGGTTGAATTAATGAACGTCTCCAGTTTCTTCCTCGCCCCTTGTTGTACGTATATATATCCACCCACCAAGTAGAAAAAGCGAGAGAAAGAATGAGTAAGGGGACACATGAAAGGGGAAACAACTGTATATAAAGTCTCGTCACGCCGACGCCATCCTAAGGATGCGTGTCTCTTTGTTTTCTTCTTTTCGCAGGATACAGCCAGCGTAGTGTGTAATATGACCAAACGGGTTTAGTCATTTTCGCCGCCACGAATGCGTGCAATTCGCGTGCGCCTCTTTACGACAATATCCATGCCGTCGGATATCGCGAGCGCGCTTTTTGCAATGAAACTTACATTGTTTAGGCGAAGTGGCGACGAGAGATGCGAGCAGTGAAAGTCACGACCTAAATTAATCGTTCAAGGCGATCGACGATATACCGAAGCTCATCCCGCGTACACGACACCCGCTAGGAAGGAAAGAAAGGCCTGGAGAGACGACAAAGTGAAAGAGCCGAACGCGAACAATAAATCGCCTTCGAGTTCGTCGAGGTCAAGTTTTCAATAATGAAACGCGGCCTTTTCCTGCCGCTCGATATATTTATTCCTTCTCGCCCCGACTCTTTTCACTTGTGGGTTTTCCGAATACTACGCGCACACGGGAAAAGCTCTACGGCGGCAAGCTATCCCCGGATTAAAAAGTTGGCCGAGGCGCGCAAGAAATACTTGAACTCGCGAGAGAACTAGGCTAAATTATTTAAGCTCTTTAACGCTTTCAAGCCACTCGCGGACCTCCTTATTTCTTCTTTTTCTTGTCTGCGTACCTTGAATTTTCACCGCGGTCGCTGCTTTTGTTGTCGATCAATTTGGTTTCGTCGCACGCAATCGCGTCTCGTGCATCATTTGTTGGAGTTAATCCGGCGTGGGTCCGATCGCGTTTCGGTCGTTGAATCAAGGCGTACTTTTATTCAATGATTTCAACTGCGAAATGATTTTTTTTTATCGTACACTCGACGACCAAGCATGCACTATTCTTGATGAAGAATTGTCGCAAATTTGTTATCGCGTCTCTTAGAACAGAAACTTTTATATACGTGTTAACGACAAGCGTTGTTGGTACTTTTGTTAAAGTGGGCAACATTACGCAACAATCCGCATTGCACGTACTTTGGAAATTGACTTATCATAATACATGAATATTTTTCAGGACCAAGATGGGCCAGTTGGAATCTAGGTATATTTCTGTGCATAAGATGCGCGGGAATACACAGAAACCTGGGCGTTCACATAAGCAAAGTCAAGTCTGTCAATTTAGACTCTTGGACTCCAGAGCAAGTTGTGGTAAGTTTAGCCTTGCACCGCGTTAATTAAACATTTTCACGACGGATCCCAAAATACATGCAGTGTAGCTTCGATTTGTTTTATTCTTCATTGGGCACACGAGTGCATTCGCCACATTGGCAAGCTTTATTTTCCAAAGCCTTATCTAGCGTCTATTTGCGAAATGACTCACTAGGCGCTTTTATTGGCCTTGAAGCAAATGAAAAGTCGGAACATGTACGGAGCTGAGATCGTCGCGTGGCTTTTTTAGAAAAAATGCATTTTTTTCGAGTGCAAAAACTAAACTATGCAAATTGCGAGATCAGCCTCACGTAGGATACTTCCGCGTGAGCTCCATTTAGTTAAAGTGCGTATTCACGTAACGGCCCCGACGCGATAGATTTCGATGTGAACTAAATCGATGCTAATTGTAAGATTCTGACACTAGCCAGAGCTAAATCTGTTTTGCCGTTCCTACTCCTACTATTTTCTTACAGAGCTTACAACAGATGGGAAATTCCCGAGCAAGGGCAGTATACGAAGCTAATCTTCCAGACAGCTTTCGAAGACCACAAACAGATTGCAGTTTGGAGAGTTTCATCAGAGCAAAGTACGAGCATAAGAAATACATTGCCAGAGAATGGGTTCCTCCACCACTGCCAAAGGTGGTAAATACCATTCCAAATAACCGTATTAATTGCAAGCTCGTAGCTCGCAACAAATGCAATGATGGTCTTTTTTTATGCCAGGTAAACTGGGATAAAGAGCTGGATGAAGAGGCAGAACGACAGCGTCGACGTAAAAAAGAAGGTCAGAAACCTACCACAACTCAAAACGCATTACCCCCTGTCAAGAAACCAGAAGTAGTGCCTCAATTGCCGAAACCAAGAAGTTCCGTCAGTCCAAAGCCTAACAGAACTGTAACTACAAATTCGGCTACATTAGACTTACTCGGACTAGGTTAGTTGATATTAAAAAGAACAACTTAGATTTCGATCGAAACGGTTTGAATTTTATATGGATTGATTGTTAGATGGCCCAGAAAATCAAGGAAGCACGAACGGTTCGTCGTCCGGGGATGACATGTTCACGTCCTTTCTGTCGGCGCCACCTGCTGCTGGCGCGCCTGTGACGAATGGCTCGCCTGCGGAAACTAACAGTACAAATAGCAAGTCAGAAGAAGAAAGCTTCTTCAATCAGCCAGCTCCGACTCCGCAAGAAAAAAGTAAGATGACCAAGGACAGTATTTTAGCTTTGTACGGTACGCAGCCCAGCCAGCCCTTCGGAGGTGGGTAATTAAAAAAAGTTACTTAAGTTTCAAGATGGTGGACTTTAATTTACGATACTATTTTTAGGCAACATGTTCAATCAACAATTATCTACGCAGCAGCAGTTGCCTACCCAACAGCAATTTCAACAGCAAATGACGAATGCGTTCAATCAGCCTATGAATTTTCAATCGCAGATCGGCATGTCAGGATTAAATCAAATGAACGTTGCATCCAGTCAAATGTTTATGAATCCTAATCAACCGAGTACCGTCCAGAGTAATTCGATAACCAGCAACGCAATGACTATGCAAGCTCAAATGGTTAGCATCGATTTTCAATGTTAGCTACTAGACTTCGCAATGTGCATTAGTGGAAAATGTTCATTGACGCTTTATTATCGTTACTTTGTTGTAATAGCAAGGTGCGACGAATTCTGGTTCACAGATGGGTCTAGGCGTTAATAATGGGTGGAGTGGAATGATTGCTACGAAAAATTTACAGCCAGCCCCGGGTAGTAATCCTTTCCTCAATTTGAGCACTCAACAGCCGATGGCTCAACCTTTCGCTCAGGTGAAAATTGCATGATTTGTGTGAACACAAAAATTTGACACTGCTAGTTACACTTATTAAATGATTTATGTTTACTGTTCCATCTTTAGCTGCCTCAACAAATGTCGCAGATGTCACTTAGTGGAATGGGTTTCACCGCTCAACCTGGAAAACCGGCTGCATCACCGATGCCAGGTCAAACACTCTCAACAAACTTGTGGCAGTAACAGTTTTTGGATTTGGTGTGATCGTTTGGTGTTTTTACGCTAGTATTGGCTGGTTTGGTTGTTTAATAGTTTCGAGTGTCGTGTAAAGAGAGCAAACAAGGTTTGCTACACAAAAAAAACAAGAGAATTATTATCAAACTCTTTGTGAGTGATGAAAAATCGGCGCATGTACAAGTGTCGCTATCACACAAAAATACGTAAAAAAGAGTAAAGCAAATTCGTTATGACTGAAAATTTTGCAATATTATTGTCGTTATATTGCAAACGAAAGCAATTCGCGATACAGTATGTTTGCTCCGTAGGTGAACTTCGTTTTTTGTTCGACGCAATTATTATTTCTTATATTAGCAATGTGGACTAAGTACTTGTCGATGCATCGATATAGGAAATTGTGTGATATGTATTGCGACACTTGGCCGCAGATTTAAAAAGAAACGTGTAAGATGTAAATTTATTGTCGCATATGATAGATAAACAGTTTTTTCAATGACGTGAAAAATAAAATACAACGTGAGTGTTGATTTCCAATCACCAACCGTTGCGTTAAAGAAGCTCACATGTAACCCGTACAAAACATCGAACGACCATTTTAAGGACATGCAACTTAATATTAGTTACTCATTTTTTATTGAGGACAGCGGTATTATGCATATGAATAGTTATAATATATACATTTAAACTGTGTGTTCTGACTGTTTACTTGAGAATCAAACAAGAAAAAAATGCATCACAATGATATTAGATTTTTATCATCTGTAATATCGTTATGTACTATAAGGGTAAATTGTAAATTATTTCTAAAAAGTGGATAATATCGTCGCTTTTTATGCATGATGCAGACAAACAAGTCTCAGTAGTAACTAGAAAATTTTTTTAGCTTTCATTCAAGATTTTTAATGTTTCCATCGATACATTCATGGTGCTACGTTCTAAAACTACGAAAAAAGTTGTTTATTCGTTTATGGCGAAATGCAAACAACGTTAAAATTCATGTATAAACTTAAAATTGCTGATAGAATACAATCAACATTGATTACATAATAAACAAAAAACTGTAAGTATTGAAAAGAGTATATGAACAGCTTTCAACGAATGAACTTCAATTAATTTTTAAACATTTCCTTCATTCCACGCAAACCATGTTCATTTCAATTTATTGTATAATATAAAGTAACTTAGATTTATAATTATGCAAAAGTTTCTGTTATTCCATAAATATTTTACTCGCACCCTCTTAATAATTATTGAAGAACTCGTGCAAGAGTGTATATAGCATTCGTAAATAATATTTTCAGGATAAAAATCAATTGAGATTTACGTCATTGTTATTGTCATGTTTTTCATATCAAATTTGAGTCAGAAATTAAATTAACTTAATAAATAAGTATATATATGAAGTTTAGATGCTCTATGCACCTTATTTTTTTCAATGAAAGTATTTTGTGTTAATGAAACAATAAAAAATGGTAGTGTACTAAGTACGTTGAATATCCCATGAATATGTGACAAAGAAATTGGTACACCATAAGAAGGGTTCGTTACACCTGTTTCATTTAAAGCATATGGCGATTCGAGAAGGTGACGGTCACAACCAACCAAACCATTACCAAGTATAAGTAACTACAGTTCCGTATCGCTCAATTCAATAACATAAAGGTACGGACTATCACAGACTTTCTAAGTATGTTACACCTTTTCATTTGTACTAATCTTTTTCCTTTGCCAAATATCAAACTTTGATTACGACTTGAAAAATACTTTAAATTAATTAAACTATAAAATTTAATAAATATAAAATAACTCGATAATATTAAGAATTTCTTAAAATGCACAATATTTAACATAGTAGAATTTAATTAATCTTTTTATTTGCCTATTTTTATTAGATATTCTTATATTTCTTTGACAAAATATTAGTATTATTAGATTTATAATGATATTATTAAAAGCGCTAACGATAACTATACAAAAGCATATCGTTGTGTAAATAAACTTTCATTGACAATTTGCTCTGTAATTCAATAAATGATTTTCTTGATATTTGCAACACTTAAAATTTTGATAGTCATAAAAAATGAGGACTCGTCAATATTCTAAACTTTTAAATATTCGTGGTCTAAAGCTTGACTTGCCGGAAGCTCAGTCGGTCGATTCGTTGCTCAATCGATGTACGTAGTTTGCAAAGCCGCATGTCGCGCTCCTTCATTTCCTTCTTCGAATTCTTCATTTTACGCTAAGTTGTAGCCACGTGTAATCACGATGGAGAAACCAGTAGTTCTTGCACGTGTTATCAAAGTCCTGGGACGCACTGGCTCCCAAGGTCAGTGCACACAAGTTAAAGTTGAATTCCTCGGTGAGGAAAATCGACAAATAATTAGAAATGTCAAAGGTCCAGTTCGGGAAGGTGATCTGTTAACCTTACTCGAGTCTGAACGTGAAGCAAGAAGATTACGATAATTTAAGTTTCTACCTACAGATTTATGTAAGTGACTTTTCATTGTGCTATCAATGTTTGTAACATTTTCTAGATTTATGTATGCCAATTTTCCATGTAAATATTGAAAGTCCAATTACGACGTATGATTTGAGGTTGTCATTGTTTGTTATACAAGTGTCATTTTTTATGTTACAGATCAACACAATTTTTTATGGAAATTCGTTACCAGCGACTATGTATTGAATGCATTGAACGTTTGCATTATAGATATCAGAATCGACGCTATGAAGATCAATCAAACTGTTTTTTAGTTGAAATCGTGAGACTGTACGTTGGTTACAAATTTAAGTATAGGACTTGTTCGAGTAGAATAAACATTTGCTGGTAACCCATAAAATGAGAATACTTTTATTTTTGCCTTTTAATGTCCTTAGTGAATTTTTTATTTTTGCGTCAATTATTTTCTTAACAAATTAATTTTTTTTCATTGTTTGAATTCGACATATTTTAATTCAATATTGCATTGGAAGTTTTTATAATATATCATCATTTTAAATATGATAAAACTAAAAGAAACACTTTTTTGATTAGAAAAACTATGATAGTTTATTTACAATGTCACTTACATTTGTAGGGTGAAGGTATGTATGATAATATTCACAGTAATAACAGCGCAATAACTCTTATAAGACAATTTTCGGGAACTATAGGAACCGAAATCAATGAATTATATAAATTTAGTTTATATAAAAAAAGGTTGGTTAGGTTCTTCTACGTTTTGGAGGAGGAGTATCTCTCGGGCTAGATGATGCTTTTGATGAATTGTCAACACTTTGTCTTGTAGGTCTCTTTGGTGCTCGTTTCAAACTCTCTCGGCTTGACTCTGAATCTTTACGTTCTTTCTTTGTTGGTGGTCCTGGAAATTGATAAGAGAGATTCATTTTCTAATCAATATGGAATTTTACTTTCTGATTGATAACTATACCAAGCCAGTTCATTTCCAAATTACAATTATAATTCCAATAATTCTATGATCTAAAGTATTTAAAATTTAGCATAAAAATTATATCTACAATACTTTGTAAGCTAAAATATATTCAACTGAAATTTTACATATATTCTTTAAATGAAGTGCAGTTACGACTTAAATTAAAAATGATATACTTACTGTGAATTATTTAGTTAAAAGTAAATATTTACCAGTATCTTCTGGTTCTTCCTTTCCTTTAAGACGACCTTTAGTGGCTTTCTGTTCTTTCTTGACTTCTTTAGTTTCACGTAGCTTGCTTTCTTTCTTCACTTCAGGTTCCTTAGTTACTTTCTTGATATCTTCTTTTTTTTTCTCAGCTTCTTTGACAATCTTAGTATCACGAAGTATGATTTCCTTCTTAACTGGCTCCTTGACCTCCTTTTCTTTTTTGATTTCTTTAACTTTGTCCTTTGGTTCCTTCATCTTACTTTCTGTTTCCTCTTTCTTACGAGTCTTCATTAGTTCTGTGAATTCACTTTCGGGTAAAATAAAATCTGTTTCATCAGGAGGGAAAGGCACATCTTCCATATCATCCTACACATTAATTAGTTTGATCTAGCATAAGTTTATTTATTTAGCGTACAATGTAAAATTTATGTACTTAATCGCATAACTGAATGTAATGCACAGATGTAAATCAAAATAGAAAAATCAATGAAAAATGACTTGATGTAATTCTTACCAGAGCTGCTAAATCATACATGGAATGAAGGTGGTCCCAAATAGCTTTCAAGGACACATCTTTGTGAATTGCAGCACGAAATTTCTCCCAAATGCATACCATATGAAAGTACTTATTGACACCTGAAATACAACAGAAACGTAGACGAAACGTAAGGTCGTACGTATCGTTGTGTTCATCGTATTCATTGATAAACGGAAACTTCGAGAGGTATTTTGTAACGAAGCTAATAGTTATATAAATAAAACATTTAATCTGAAACATAACCTTATTCGGAGACGTGTGGGGAAATCTCGGTCAAAGGAAAATTAAGAGGCAGTTTCTCACCAACGGGCTTATGGCCGTTCATAGCAAAGAATAACTGGATTTCATTATCGACATTCCACTCGATCTCCTCGGAAGAATCGACTTGCTTCTCTTTAACAGCCATGGTTTTCTTTGTCGTGGAAACGCAATAACATAAAGTGCTTCTCTTTCTCTGAAAGTTCTCGCAAAGGATTGGGATAACAATAACGACAGCAGTCTACCCAGCACACTATTTGGAAACAGTTGAGCGTCGCTGCTGCTGCTGTTTGCCATCCCTACCATATCGTAGTTTTACTTTTTTCTTGCGGAATTAGAGACGTATGCGCAGGTCTTGCTGCGCATCAGAAAACTGATGATTGTTCGCCTCGGTCAAAGCGATGTTCTACTTCACCGACAGTCAATCAAATGCACAAGAGTTTGGTCGTTACTGTCGTTAACATGATTAAATCTTAGATGTCGTTAGGAGATTCAATAGTTCTTATTACACTAAACGAACATAACATTCTTATGACTGCTGTAGCATATAGCAGCTAGTTATTATCTCGTTGAAATATTTTACAAGTCCAATATTTATTGAATTGTCGCCCACGAATATTGTTACATATATTATGTATTATACTAATATAGTACAGAAAAATTTCGAGATTGAACAGACGTAATGATAACGGTAATGATTGTTTGAAAAAGCAATGATGTATAATTCCCACGGCATTGAATATCATTAAACGAATCCATTTATTTCAATGGGGTGTGCTCGGAAAAAAAATGACTGCGCTCAGTTGAAGAAATGTTTTCCTGGTTAAATAAATACCATAAAGCCGCAAAGTGTTTTGGGCTTGATTCCCAGGAATGGCGCGGCGGTGGCGTCGCAAACCGCAGAAAAGCGAGCGCAATAACGGAAATAATTAACCTTCTGCTGCGAGTGTAAGGTGAAAGACTTGGGGGAGCTAGATGCAGAACCGAGCTGAGCAAGGAAGCCAAAGGAAATGGCATTTGGTGAGTCGGACGAAAAAGTTGACGTGGCGCTCGGGAACTTGTTGTTCCGTGGCTTATCACCTAGTTCTCCGGGCCAGTTGAGCGACGCGCACGCGAACAAGATCGAGGCGCTCGTGCGTTTTAATACCTCAGCGAGATGAGAGGCTCATTTGGCCGAGGCTTATACCCCGAGCTCGTATAGTGCGCGAGCGCAGATAGTTGATGCGCGTGTCGCCGAGGAACATTGTGTATGCGCGTGTATATATTCTGTCGTAGCTCGGCGATCATCATTTTTGCGGACTGCTAATCTCGCGCGCAGCGGCAGCTCGCTCTCGGGCGCAATTACGCTCGCGCACTCACCTTCGCAATTCGCGCTCGCAATTAGCCGCAATTTATGTGACACAAGCGCGAAAGTTATACGCGCCAGGCGACTTTATCGTCGCACCGGTCGTCCTTCTTGTTTTTTCGACCATCTCGCGCGCTGCGTATTATGCCCGCGGAATAATGCCTCGGCGAAGCTCGCAATCGTGGCCGTGCGCTTCAATGACACTCCGCGCATGCCTCGAGGCGAAAGATGCTCGCTGCATTAGGACAACTGTCGCGAGTCGGTCGACTTTCGACGTCGGCGATAATCTTATCTAAATGTTCAGCTGGATGGCGACGGCGACAATGATGCGTATAGGAGCGTAACTAGCACCCGTGCGTACAGCAGATACAGAAGCACGTAAGAAAACGATCGAAAGAAGCTTCACTCCGCGCATTACAGTTATGCACGTGTAAACACACCACTCGCTCTCTGTAGATTTAAAATTTAACGCACTTGTGCACATTAATGATAAAACAATTCGTACGGCAAATGACCGTCACTCGTCTCGTTAGATTTTGCAGTCAGGGCCCAAGATGATCAGAAAATAAAATGTACAGCTAGGCTTCCCAGTGAATTGCAGCATAAACGAAGCCTTATTCCCATGCAGATTGAAACAGGTGCGTTGAAGCTGCAGAAGCATCGCGTCCAGAGGCATGCGAGCCGCTATATAGACGCGCTTCGCTGCTGCCGCTGCCACGGCATGAGCCTTTCCAAATCAACCGACTTTTGCTATGAGGCACGTCCGGAAACTTGCTTCGCAATAGGTTGAACAACCCTCTCGTCGAAAGTCGACCGAAAATCTGGGCCAACTCCGCTTTCGCCGCGCGCTCCGCCATTGTCTACGCACCTGTCCCAGTGGCATTTTCGCGTGATCGACAATCGGATTCCTCTCCATTATTGCCATTATCATTCTCATCTTCGTCGCTCGGAATTATCAATTTATCGCCGGTATATTTGATTAATTTTATCACGCAACTCGACGGACTGGCTCGAATTTTTTCGCAGCAGGCAAGATTATCCGTAAAACCGAGCCACGGGGTTCTCGAGAAAGTAAACGGACGCGTCGATTTCAAAGACAGACGTAATCGTTCAAGCGACCAAAAAAATCCCAAAATCGGAGGAAAGGTTCAACAAGCTATGCTCAGCAAGATTATCCGAGGAAGATATCCGATGAAATGCACGCGCGAGACGACAATAACGCGCACGCGCACCTGCATCGCGGGAGCTTTTCTCCATGGTCTCGCATCGAAATTCCGCGACGGCATTTTATTACGCAGGATAATGCCGGCGCTGACGGGGAAGCGACGACGAGTCGCGTCCACGGATGCTCGCGAGAAACCGTTGGCTTGTAATCCACGCATACGCGAGTCACTCTTCGGACTCGGGGAAGGAAAATAAAAAGATAGCAATAAAAACAAGGCGTTTAATCCGATCGAACGGAACGAAGGAAACCGGCTTCGAACGCGCGCGCTCAGCTCGGCGGATGACGAAAAGCACAGCGCGTCTGATATCTATATGCGTCGAGAGCTTTATTACACAAATATGGGCGAGGCGGACTTCCGACACTTGCTTCGGGCTGTCGTTCGTCACCGCGGCTATTTGCGGCTTTTCCATGCGATTTGCGCTCGCGCATGCTCGACGATTTCTTTCTTTTCGCGACCGATCAATCGCTCTCGGGTATATTGATTCAACCGATCGGAAACAGTAATTGATATGACTTCCTACGGACAGGCTTGCGACGGTAAGTGGGATTCGGTTATTTGCTTCCGCGGCGCTCGTACCGCTCGCTTGAGCTATCTATCCGCAACGTACGGTCAGGTGAAAAGTGAGCGATTGGTCGGCAATGAATGAAATCGTTTATCGAAAGGCTCCACCGTGGCGAGTTCGCCGATGGCGAATGGGCCAAGATGTTTTCGAAGCCGTACACGAAGCGTGGACTACTGGAAAAAGTCTGAAAACGTATCTGGCGGCGTCAGAAGGAATTCAGCCGTGGCGCGAGATCAAACACGGCAGCAGCCTTGGGAAGGCGAGTTAGAGGAGCGAAGGATGAAAAAAAAACAACGAGCGCGAGGCGACTGTGTGTAAGGATAGCTGTATAGATACAGAAGGCGCGCCGCGGCGCGGAGGGAGGAGGGAGGGAGCGAGAGGAGACGTTGGTTGGCTCGCGCTCTTTTGCCACGGCGTACACACGTTGCGCGGAGTCAACGTTCCGAGAAAATAAGCGGACGTCCAATGACCGATGTACAGTATTATTTTATCCGCGTGCAGAATCATTTCGTGGCCAAATGAAAGTTTTACTCTACAAATACAATTCCACGCTCTTCGTCGTGTATCAGGTGTACAGTTTTACTCTTTTATCGAAATCTCCGTGTGGAATGGCATTATGTATAATAACCTTTAAAAATTTGTTCGTGTAGAATATTTTCGTGTACAGTCGACGGGCGTCCCTCCCACGGGTCAGCGACCACTATCTTTTACACGCTCGCTCGGCCCTCTCTTCCTTCTCCTCTCTCTCGCTTCCTCTATCCGCACACGCGCGCGCGAATAGACCTTTCTCTCGCTCGGTTGCTCCGATTCCGCGCACCTCTCTCTCTCTCTCTTTCTCTCTCTCTCTCTCTCTCTCTCTCTCTCTCTCTCTCTCTCTCTCTCTCTCTCCGGTCGCGTCTGCCGTCCGAGACCAAACGTCCGTTTCGCCGGATTTCACGAGCCTCGCGGTAAATTGGCAAAGTGCTGGCCGACAAGGGCTCCAATACGGGCTCCCGACGAGTCGATCGCGAGCGAGCGAAACGATAATCGGACGAGCAGAGTGGCGCGCGTGCACGGGCAGCTCGATATGGCCGCTTACGCGCGCGCCGAGCTTTCGCGCCGTATAATCGAGCGGTGGACGCGCGCGCTCGAACCGACTTTCGCGCCACTGCAGGCTTTCTCGCGTATCCGATTGGCCTCTTATCCGCGGAGAACGCGTACGTAGGAAGGAGCCGACAACGGCTGCGGCCGTACATCGAATGAAAGCGCCGCGGCGTGACTGACTCGTCGTCGTCGCTGCATACAATCGGCCGTCCGTTGCCTCGCTCATTTTCCTTCCTCCATTTCATTCTCTCTATCCGCGCCGTTTCATCCTCTCCTTTCTCATCCTCCTCTCGACTTTCTCGCCGCGGCGGCCGCGGCCCTTTCTTACGGGCTCGCGCCTCCCTCAGGAATTCGAGTGCCGAGGCTCGCTCCTTTCTCTCGCTCGGCAGATTGCGCTTATATACCTGCGCCTAGGCTACACCGCGACTTCCTGCAGCGTGCGCGCATAATCCTCCACTCTTTCAGCTTTTCTTCTCGCTCATTTTTGCGCGCGCGCTTTTGCCCATCTTTTCTTACGTATCCCGCTCTCCTTCTCGTCGTTCGCTTCAAGCCGCGCTGCGCCTCTTGGCTATGTGCCCGCAGCAGAATGCCTCTCGTCTTGCCTTTATCCAATGGCAATAGGCTTGCTAATCCCATTCGAATTTTCCTCGATTCTTTTTAACGCGAGTTAATGAGCCCCTCGCGAACACCTGCGCGCGCTGCCGCACCGAGCGATGTTCGGCATTGAAAATCTAATTGAACCCTGGGTACACAATGGGCTTCTGCTAGTCACGATAGAATTGCCCTGTGAATTTTCGTGAAGGTGCTTTCTCGTCATTGTTAAAATTTGATGATCTGCGCAACGATATCGATAACGCATCTGAAATCGGTGAGAGCATTTAACGATCGAAAGGAAATCGAGAAGATCTTTGACCAGTGAAAGGCCAAACGGCGTACGAAGGTCAAATGTAGAAGTGCTCGTTGGACTCGAAAGAAAAAGGACAATTCTCTATCCGCAAGGAGAGGTGTTTTTGCATCTATTAAAC